CCCTACACCGAGGAAAGGACACGTGTATGTGAGTGGGACGTACGAGAAGCCGTTGCACAAATCGGCGGGCAGTACTACTTCCCTCCGGCCAACCGTTGTTCTGGGTTCGTAGACGCTGGATTTGTCATTATCGACACGTCCTTTCCACCCTACTCGATATTGTTGCCCTTTAACGAGCTGATCGTCATTTCGTGGACGGCCGTGGTGCCCCATTGGCCCCACATTCTGTGCACGGAGTGCCAGCGTTTCAATTGCTACAAAGCGAGGGGCTTCCACTATCGAATACGGAGTGAGGACGAGCATAAGGAAAGAGCCACTCGGCTGAGACCATCCACGTCGGACTCGGAACTGACCCATGAACGACGACGAGATCTGATACGAAAACGAGACACGCGAAGCGTGCCAGAGCCATTACGTTCTAAACGACGAGCCGTACCTCGGTGGGAAGCCCGACAATACTTTTTGGATTGAATTTGGATCTTTCTGTTTTCGCGCCAAGTCCACGCGCGCATTCCGCGACGCATGAAACTAATTGACTTGCTTCGTCGGACCAACACGGGGGATTTCAGTTCTGTCTGTGTCCCCACACTCAATTTTCAAAAATCCTTGGCACACCCCTTCTTGCTGTTTTTCTGGGCCTCTTTTCCGCACAGTTAACACTCCGAACGGAAGACAGCACAGGGCGTGAGGTTGCGCGTCACAGGTAGTGGTTCTCCAAACATGGTGTAACAGGGGAAGTTCAGTCAGAATTGAGAGCAATAAAGTTCTGAACTTCTCTGATTGGGTAGTGTAGATTAGGATAGAGTGGAACGTAGCAGTAGGGTAGGAGAGGGCTGGGTTCATCCTACGGCCCCAACCAGGACACTCCGTTGTAACTTTCCATGTAGGAGGCAAGAGGGACAGCATGGGAAGAGAGTGCCACGGTGGCTGAGGACCGGTGGTCCATCCTGCCCGAGATAGGCAGGGAACCTCAAAGGGGAGTTACCCCAAGTTGTTTTGATAGGCTAATCTAGGGGACGGATTTGAGACTTACTCTTGTTGGCTGCTTTGACCTTGTTTGGCTTTGCTGTTTCTTTATGTTTGAGTGCTTGTTTTGCTGTTCCGGTTTGGTCTGTTTTGTGGTTGGGTAGTAGTTTGGCCGGGACAGTCCTGTAAGGCCACCCCGGGCCTAACTTTGGGTTGCTCTTCGGTAATGGCTCTGCCAAGTGTTGTTGGGTTAAAACCCACGGCTCCAAGCTGGGTAATGGGCCCAGTGCGTGACAGGGTTCATTCCGGGGGCAAGGTCCCACTTGCGCAAATTAGGAGATTTCGGCCGTTGATCTTTGCTATCGACGGTCAATATCTCTTAGATCGTGTAAGTGGGACCTAGCCCCGGGTTGTTTGTGAGGAATTCCCGGGCCTCATGTTCTCATGATAATGGATTCCTTGCCTTTTCCGCCCCCCCCCAAAAAAAGAAGAAAAGGAAAAAAGAAATGGGAGGTCCCCCGCCTCGCATTGTTTTGGAATTAAAAAAAAGAAAAAGAAAAGGACTGGCCCCACCCTTCGCGTTCCGACAAGCTACGCAATACGCAAGACGGTCGACTTCACTACTACGTTCGACTTCGACCTTGCTCCTCTACTCTAGGCTATGGTCTACAGTTGCTACTCACAGTCGTGCTTTTCTGTGGGGCTGTGTATGGGCCAAGCCACACCACTCTCGAAATGTGCAAAAGACAAAAATGTGGCCGGCGCATCTGGTTGTGTTCTAGCGGGAAGTTCATTCTCATTTTGCACATTTCGAGAGTAGTGTGGCGAGGCCCTATAGCGGACATGGCAACACACTTCCAAACTCCTGACGAGTCGGTGCAAGTCCGACGAAACAGTCTGGCACAGTCATGCGTTTTTGTTGGAGTTGCGTATAGCGAACATGAGAACACTCACAGACACGCGCACACACACACTCACAAAAAATAGAGAGGATTGTGCTCTACTCTGTGCTGTGATGGATACACAAGCACGCACACACAAACAAACCCACCCAGAACACACATTCGCACGCACACACACACGCACCCGAACATACACTAATTTCGGGGCGAAGCTCAAGAGGATTTGTCGTCGGTAAGCACGTGCTGGAGGTTGCGCTGTGCATCTTGAAGGCTGGACGCTGATTGGGATCTGCATCGTGAAGGGTGGAAGCCGAGGCTCGGGTTGTGTATTTCATGGAGGCTTTCGGACGATCGCGTGACCATCGCTGATGGTGAGTAAACGCTCCTATATTCTTCTTTGGTTCCCGTCGATTTTCTGCTTCTTTGGTTTCTATGCTGTCTCTCTCGATCCTCCGATCGATCAACGTGGCAAGTCTGGCACACACACACACACACACACACGGAGAGAGAGAGAGAGAGAGAGAGAGAGAGAGAGAGAGAGAGAGAGAGAGAGAGAGGAGACTGGTGGATAAAACATTTGCAAAGGAACGAGGGGGGGAGCAACCCACGTGGTATGCTGCTACAGGTTCTCTCTCTAACACCTTTTTTTTTTCCCTTAAACTGCCGTAATACTATTTTTGGATGTGTACTTGAAACATGGTTCCAGAATAACGCAAGCGCGAATTCACAGAGTGACAACTCCCTCAAATAGACGACCAGAATCCAGTGGGTGTCGGCGCAGTAGGGGACGAGGATCGGCGAAGTGGATGAAGGTGGTCGCCGCAGCTGGGGTGAAAGGTGGGCGCGGTGGCTGGGCGTGGTCGGGGAGGACGGTGGGCGCAGTTGGGGAGCAAGGTGGACCCAGTTGAGGAGGAAGGTGTGCGCAGTCCGGCAGGAGGGTTGGCGCGGGGGGAAAGGGTGGTCGGTGCAGTCGGGGAGAAGGAAGGTGTTGGGCACAGTTTCGGAGGAAGGTTGCGCAAGGGGGAGGGTCGGCGCAGTCCGGGAGGAGGGCTGGCGCATGGGGGCGGAGGGCCGGGGCAGGGGTGTGTACATGTTTGCCCACCACAAATTGTGTCGTTTCTTAATTTTAGATCGTTAATTGTTTCTCTATACACACACACACACACACAGACATACACACACACACACACACACACACACACACACACACA